TACGGACCAATTTTACCATTGATTTTCCACAACATTTGACGGCCTACCATTTTGGATAGAGAAGAGATAGCGACCTCTAGTTTGCACCATTCTTTAAGTTTTTGTAAACACTTCAAAATAAGGTGTCACTTGAAGGGGGTTTACATTTGAAATATTTGAGTTGCCCCCCAAATCCCCCCTGTTGGGGGACACTAACAAATTTCAAAATCATAAAATGAAACTTCCTGCTAAGATTGCACAACCACCAAAAGGATATCTCTGTATATTTACTTGGAAAAATATTAGAGGGGGGGGGGGTCTTGACTTTTTATTCACCCTGTATGTAATTAATTAGTACGCCAACACGAAATTTGTCCTGTGAACTCCTCCGTCATTTCTTAACCGATTTTGACCATTCAGATCTCATTGGAAAGAGCGTGTCGCGTGGATTTGTAAACTGACCTTCAATTTTTGAAAACGTCCCCCGGGCTCAACCCATTTGTACCCTTTTAATGATAAAACCTCTCAATATAATAATGTATTAATATAATAATGCCTACGCAGAAGTCAAAATTGACACTTTCATAATCTGACTTTGTAGCCTACTTCTTAATCTAATCGTCAGTTTATATGAAACGTTTGTCCGGAATTAACACTAAATGTTTGCCGATCCCACAACGTCATAATCATATGATATGTAGTCTTTTCCCACAGACATTGTTTAACTTGGTGTAGGTCGATGTTCAAATAAATCACTATCAAAACAGTTTGAATATGAATCAATCATTGATGGGTTACTAGTTTGTGTCATGAATGCTAAATTTCGTTTCGAATTTCGGGGTCAAATTCCGTTTGCTGCCGCCCACGCCCCAAAAGGCCAGTTGAGTCAGGTTTTAGACGATGGTTTCATTTGATATGTATTTTGAATGAGGAATATTATTATTATTTGGAAATGATGGAAATGAAATACTCTACTCTACCTAGACCAACTTGCATTCCAAACGTGTTTCAGCCAACGGATTTTGGTAGAATTCTCTTGTAAGAATAAGAAACGTCTTGGAAAATTATTTAATTAAATAAGAACCCTGTCTACCCAGGTTTGTTTTTACAACCATTGGGCCCAAAATATAATGCTAACACTAACACCAAAATTGACAAAATGGAATAAATACCCCCGCCGCAGCAAACCTGCAGACTAAGCGAATTTCCAATTACCTGGCTGGATTTCTACTAATATATTCCCTAAAAATGTTCATATTTATTTCCAATTTAAATAACATTAATTTTAGTAAGTACTTAGGTTTGCTGCTACAGGGAAGATATTGAGGTGTGTTTTTTTATTGCAATGTCAATAGCTTACTATGAAATAAACAAAATTTCCAAATTTGGTTACAATATATCCATAAACAAGCAAACTACAACGGTTCATTTATTTTCCATAAGAATAACATGGGAATTTTAAATTTACAGTTTTTTTTACATCTCCATAACCGTTTCTTGAGTTTTCTATACTATGGTGATTTGACAAGAAGTTGTAGTTCCAAAATGTTTTCCTAGATTGGCACGTTAAAAAGTATTGTGGTTAAATAAATCAAACTATGGACAGCAGCACACTCTCAGGCTGAAATTAATTGTCGTTTAATTCAATTGAATTTGATAATGCGAATTTTATTCCAAGAGTATGCTATTTGTTTTGTGGTCAACTAAAACAATACCTCGATACTACATTGAAACGCATATATTTCATTTTTAGAATACAAAATAAGGTTCAACTTGAATTTTCCCAAAAGATTCTAGGATTTTCAAAGTTCTTGAAGCTATCTGTAGACGCTATACACAATACACACCATGTATAGTTAGGCGAACTTGTCATTTCATTCCCAACCGTTGCATGTACAGGTCCAGTTGCCGACTCACCAATTGTGATCGCTCAAGAAATATATCTTCTCTGGTTCATTTAGGTGTTTCTGTTGAAATTGATGATCGGTCAATAGAACTGCAATGTCCGATTACGAAACATGTTGGTGAAATTACTCTACCTTTAGTTTAAGAAGTACTCAAGTGTTTAGCTAACTACTGTTTAATCTTCCAAAATTAACCAAGTCTTTGTCTGGGGACACACTATGTGGGATAATATAATTTCAATGCTATTGCGCGCTTTGGAATATTAAGAAATACACTTATAAAGATTTAGTGCCTGTCGGTAGTTCCGTAAAATTTGTAGTTTTTTTGCCTGTTCTGTTTTTCATGAAATGTCAATCGTATCACCACTGGCACCAGCATATTGTTGCATTTTCCGTGTTCAATATGTGTTATAATGTGTAATTAACCAACAACAAAGCAACTTAAGTGTTATTAACATATTACTGGAAGGCGGTGTTTGGAAATAGTAGGTATTCTATTAAAACACGTAACACAATTTTTACAGTTTTAACTGATGGAATGAAGGTCTAATGTAAACTTAATATGAATGCTGTAAATATATAACATCACAGACTATTATGGCATAGTCCAATGGTATATTGCCTGTGATAACAGTCAACATTGCATCTTTAGGCTACGTATGAATGGTTATGAATTTTAAAAGTAAATTTAAAGTAAATTGAAGTAAACAAAATTTGACTTTTGAAAGTATTGTGCATGTAAACTTATTTAACACAATAATTATGTTTGTATTACCTGCAGTGAAAGTGAGAATTGAAGTTGTAACTCACTTAAGGTTCAGCTCAGAAATGTGTTGCTCTCAAATTTACACCATTAGTCAAGTTTTCAATACTTCCATCGATCCTGATGTGGTGTGAATATTCATATAAACTCTCATGACGTACACAAACATGAAATAAAAAAAAATATTTCATGTATATATCTACGTTTCTGTTAGTTATAAACTAGTTAAATTTATTGAATTCTTTATTGACCACATCACTCTTTAGATCGTAAATTTGAAGGGTAGCTAATTTCTTAACTGGCCGCCAGAGATATACCCCAATGCCATCTGGTGGTAAACTCCTGAACTCATTGCAGGCCCAATGTAAACAAAGCAATATTTTGCATTGCGAGAGCTCTGTTTTATACAGGATATTCAATTTAATTAAACTTCTGCTATCGTTTATATAAATTTTAAAAGCTACTTAACTTTTTACTATTATATTTATTAAACTCATAGGATGTTTTTTTTTACTAAAATATATAAAATGTAAATAATTGCATTTGCCTCTCGCAGGGATGTAAGTGAATTAATACATCCATATGAGAGTAATTGTTTTTGTTTTTTGTAACGCTATCCAACTGTAAGTATACCTTTCTCTGCGAAGCTGTGACTCGACTCGCCCGGGTCGAGGAACGGCTTAAAAGTAATAATAATGATAATTTAGAGAAAATAACATAATATACCGTACTTGTATACTGTCTCCTCTAGTCTCTAGTCCAATCCCACTCCTGCATTAAATCTGAGACAAATCATAACATATTACAACTGAAGGTAATATCTATGGTAATATGAAAGATTCGGAAGTAAACATATCACACACATTAGTCGACCTCTTATGTCTCAATGAGATATCCTTTGGCAATAACTTAGAACAAACATAAATTAATTGTATAATGCAAACTTCGGAAATGTTCTCTCAATTTAAAAAAATAGATAATATTTAACATGAAATCTGATGACAATACGACGTGGTAAAGTAATCCAAATTTCAAATTCCAGAGAGATTTGAGTTTACAAATTGGATAACAAAATATTTGATTTAATTTCATCAACATAATCATAATGGAGAGACTTATCAAATATCCAGGAACAACTTATCGTCTAAATCTAGCCTATCCTTGTTTTGTTTTCTATAGGTTATACTGTAGATGTTTGGATCTAGTGTAGGGTGATGCCCAACACATAGTATTACGACCTTATTGATTTACTAATCAAATAGATTACGTTATTATTACGCATCAAATTTACCAAATTGATATCTTTGTCGTCCAACTTCAAAGTCTCAAAAAAATGTATTGCTTCATAAGATTTTACTTCCTTCTGTTGATGTTGTGTGCCAAGTTTGTTTTTAAAACTACAAATTACTGTATACATTTCGAGCGAATTATATTGCTTTAGATTTAGTCCTATTAGCATTAATTAAAAAATTACATTCTATTTATATGTAGGCTATTGCTCTTATATTAACACTCCATAGACGTGTAGGCCTACTTACTCCATCAAATAGTTAATAGTACAACGTAGCCGTGTATATCCACACATTTGACGTGACGTGACAATCTGTTATACTTTTTTGAGTCTTGAGAGGTTAAGTTTCGGTGTTTTTTTGGATCCCATGTCTTCCGGGTTGAACAATCTTCTTAGGAGATGACAGATCCACTTGTTTATACCAAGAAGTTACCTTAATATAAGTATATTTACTAAACTAGCTTTCGTTTAAATTACTGTACTGCGTGCATTGATTGAATTAATAGGTAAATGCAATTTTCAATATCCATGGTAACAAAAATAAATCATTTTTGTTTAGCTACTAGGTTAACAATGGCTGATTGACGTTATTTATTAAGAGGCTTGAAATGCAAATCGCCCTCAGCAATTTCTCCTACCATTATAGAAGTAAGCAAATAAGGTCTCACATTGACTGTATAAGTTAAGGACTATTTTCGTATACTGTTAACATAATGAACATGTATAAATAAAAGTTAAGCCCAGTAGCATATGTATAGCTCAGAAATCAGACACTTTTTATTGCCGTAATTAGTAAAGTACATGCAACAATGAGTTTGCAAGTTCAAGAAAAGAAAACTAGATATGATGCTAAGTTGTAAAGAAAACTAGCTCACAACGTATGTCGCATGGCAGAGCACCCCAGAGTCAAAGATCAATCGAAACTCTGCGAATGTTTGCAAAAACGACGCGGAAAGAACAAAGTCCTTTGTGCAGTGGCAATTTGTTATATTCCAGGTACAATCGTGATTTACAAGTAAGTAATAACAGGAGAGCCTGGAGTCTAGGGGGGGGGGTGGGCGGAGTGTTGTTGTTTGCGCCCTCTGGAATCTCAGTCACGGATCCATAGCGGGTCGCTTTCCCGTTGAAACCGAGCGCTGCCGAGCGCTGATTGGTCGACGGGGCGGGTCGTCATGGCAACAGTGGGGCGCCCGGCCAATCAGCGGAGACCGGCGATCGAGCCGGCTACCTCGCGCTACGACACGGCCAGTCTGAAATGATCCTTCGTGTCGCGAGGAGCTCGTGAATGCCGCCCACCATGGCGTTGGGACTAGGCACTGCCACCTCGCACCCGCTACCGCCGCCGCCGCGCGGTCCCCTGGTGTCCCCCGTGGTCCCCAGCCCCATGTTCGCGTTGCCGACCCTCAACTTCACCGTGTCCCAGGTGGCCGCCGTGTGCGAGACCCTGGAGGAGTCCGGAGACATCGAGAGGTTGGCTAGGTTCCTCTGGAGTCTGCCGGTGGCTCACCCGAACGTCGCGGAGCTCAACAAAAACGAAGCCGTCCTTCGGGCCCGCGCGATCGTGTCGTTCCACAGTGGCAACTACCGCGAGATGTACTCCATCCTGGAGCATCACAAGTTTACCAAGGACAGTCACGGCAAGCTGCAGGCGATGTGGCTCGAGGCGCACTACTCGGAGGCCGAGAAGCTGCGCGGGAGGCCGCTGGGGCCCGTGGACAAGTACAGGGTGAGGAAGAAGTTCCCGCTGCCCAGGACCATATGGGACGGAGAGCAGAAGACACATTGTTTCAAGGAGAGGACGAGAAGTCTGCTGAGAGAGTGGTACCTGCAGGACCCGTACCCCAACCCGACCAAGAAGCGGGAGCTGGCCCAGGCGACGGGTCTGACCCCGACCCAGGTCGGCAACTGGTTCAAGAACAGGAGACAACGCGACAGAGCGGCCGCCGCCAAGAACAGGTCAGTTGTGATACTGCAAGTGTTGTAGTGATAAGGTGACGTGCACGAGGCAACTCGCAGAAGTTCGGCTACACATGTCAATAACAGATTGTTGACTAATCTTTGATCATGATAAGAGGTAAATGTTAAAGCTACGCAATTAGTGAAGGTTTATCAAATCCTTTGCCATAAATCGTAGCTTTACATATTAATCGTTTATACATACGGGAATGATATTAAATTTGGTGTTAACATGAGGCATTTACATACACTTTTGATCATGTTAGGCTGTAAGTTTGCAACGTATACAAATTTAGAACCAACCGCATTGGAAACAGGTCATCACTGCATGTTTAAAAGAGTGATTAGACCAAAGAGTGATTGGTGATAAGACCAAAATTAAACACATATAAGAAATATACGCATACGTTAAATCGAAGACCATGCATATATAGGCTAATGATTGCATAGATGATATATACTATGGTGTACGTATTGCAATATTGATTTATCAAAACCACATATCCGTAATATTACTATAGCATGACTCGCCTTCGCCTAGGTACGCGTTTTTGTTGAGGATGAATTAAATAAAGTAATGAGATAAAAACTATCAAACATTCAACCTGTCAAGCGGGTTTCTCGAATTAATTTACCTCCGGGATGTCCTCTACTTTACTAATTTGCAAATATAAACAAAACTACATTTAAGATAAAATTTTATGAACAATCAGTCAAAAGTTGAGTTTTCCTAAATATGGCAGGTAAATCCGGGGCAATAGCCAAGAGGTAAATCAGTTTATAAATATTGTTATAGTCTGAACAAATTTTTTTCTTTTCTTAATAAATTGATAGTAGGAAATTTTATTTTATCCAGTAATTTATGATCCAAACAATCGCGGGTAAAGAGTTTAACGGTACTAACATCTAAATAGAACCAAAAGAATTATCCAACAAATATAAAACCAAATAAATGTTTTAACACAGATTTATAAGCAGACAATAACTGTTGCTTTTTGAATGTCTTTTCTGTAAGTAACACGCCATTTATCATAAAGAAAGGTTAGTAATACTAATAAAGTGTGAACTTTAACAATTTGGATCCAATCATTGTTCTGAAACATCAGCTGTGTTTCAATATCGTTCCTCACTTTTAGCAATGAATACAGCTGTATTTGCTTTTAAATTTGCTTTTAGGTGTATATCAATTTATTTCAATTCACAGATTTAAAGCTTGCATTTCATGTTGATTAATAAGTTGACAATGATATGTAATTGCATTATTACGTATTAGGAAACCATGCGTTTTATGCAATATAGTCGTTCAGTGAGTTAGCTACAGCTACACTATCAGTGAGCTGAATGCCGCGTAGTGTGAGTTGCGCGCACCGCTAGGAATTAAATTATATCTATTGAGCTTCTTATACTTTTGTAGATTATACTTTACAACATTTTATACAGGCACACCTCACACAATGGAATATATACAATTTTAAGACGGCATATTGTCGAAACTTCTACAAAGTAGAAACAATAAAAAAACAATAGAAACTACGAAGTTGGCTTGCTAAGAAGTACTATAAAACCACTATAATTGGAATATAATTTTAAAATTTACAGGTTAAAAGATGAAATCCATGCAAAAATTAAGTGGCAAACTAAAGTTCTATTTAAGAACAAAACAATAACAAAATCTATGCTAGAAAAAATATAAAAATAATTAACCTTATATTATTTAAATTCGGGCATGATTCTGTTTACAAAGATTTAAATAAATTGTAAAATTTATACCAACCATGCAGTTTAGAAAGAGACGGTCGGGTAGGCCTAAACATAGCCTATATTTCCGTGTTTGTATAAACATAATTGATTGTAAAATATAATTGTTATCAATATAATAAAATATAATAAAAATAAATATAATATAATAAAATATAATAATAATAAATAAAATATAATTGGTTGTATAAACTTTTCTCTATATTTTTATTAAAAACGCGTCATTATTATCACCTAGGCCTAGTTAAAAGAACAATATTAGATTGTATCGATGCCTGGCATTTTTTCTACAAATTGATAGATAATTTCACGGTTAATAATATCACAGTTAGTTCTATATAGGCCCTGCTTGATGTTTTAGCTTGATTACACACATAATATAACTAAACATTATTATTATTGTCGTTTTTGTAATCTACATCCTACAAATGTTTTCTGTGGTGTCTGATGAGAGATATGCCCATTTGGAAAACATAGCACATCTTACAATTTATGCGATTGTAAAATATTCGTCAACAACTTTCTTAAGTACATATAAATTAATATTTTACTCTTAAAGCCGTTTAAACATTTAACATAAAATTGATTTTCTTCTTGGCCTAAACCTCAAGAGCCAAACCTTTATGGATGATAGATGTAAATGAAATGTAAGAAACACGTGTGTGGTCGTTTCCGCAATTCCATTTTTACTCCGGAAAGCTTGATGAGTTTTCTGTTCAGTGACATGCATTGCTGTTGCTGTAGCGTGTATTTTGATACTATTTTCTTATTAGCGTTGTGATACTCAACGAAAACATCAATCTATTAAAAATACGATTATAATAGGGTCATGAATTTTTATGAAGTACGTCCAATTTTGGATATTTAACAACCTTAAACAATTTGTTATGATTTTTTTGTCTTCGAAAATTTTGGTAATTTTTCTTATTTTTTTTGCAAATGTCACAATCCAGCTTATTATCATGGAAATGTATGAGGGTTGAGATAGTGTCCTTACAAACTAAGTATTACTTACAAAACATATTAAAAAAAAAATATTGTTTTACAAAATGTGTAACGAATATTAATGCACCGTAAAATGTATGTATACACATTAGGTGTATAACCTACCTAATTAAAAAAGCCAGAAGTGAACGTAGACTGTAAATACAAATAAATAAATAACCTACAAACTAAAAAAATTTAATAGTATACAAAAACTGACTGAGTGTTTTAATTATTTTATTTGAATGGGCAAGGGATTATGACCAGATGGATTATATTGTCACTACTGTACGGGTTACGGATTGATTGAAGGGGTTCCCCGCCAGAAATACCCGGGGTTTCCAGCAAATCTGCCAGACGGAAGATTCGGACAGTCCAGACCGAACAGGAATAACCCACTGGAACTGTTCTGTTTGACAAGTAAATGTTTGAAGTTACTCTGTCAGATAAATTGTATTCGAGACATATGATAAGTAGGCTGGACAGTCAACAAGTAAATAATGTTGGGTAATTTTAGATTTGATAGGTCTAAAAGAAAATCTTATATAAAGTCTACAGTTTGGGTTTTGCTGCGCTTTCTTATTATGAGTTATGTAATGTATATTTTACAAAGTTACCCTTTAAAAACATGTGGATAAACTTTTTAGTTTTTCTCTAAATTAAGTTTGTAACAAATTATATATTGAACTCGCATATGTGTACTATTTTCTATTGGAAGCGCATCAAAGTGTAAAAATTCGATTAAGTCGTATAACATTTTCACTTACTAGTTGTTCTGCCTGGGCCTCGCAACGGTGCAATTAAGAATACGTGAAACCATTGACTTTATATACCTACAGTAGGCATATAATCAATGGTGGGACTCGAAATCTACCTTAAAAACATTACTTTTTCGTAATACAGGAAATTCTCAATCGTACTTATGCTTATTTCAATGAAACTCTCTTGTGCACTTGCATTAAACTGTGAGGCAAAAACTGGCGTAATATTTTAATCGTAATGTAAACGTCAATGATAATGAGAATCATCTAAGGAAAAAGGTAATCAAACAAATACAAATGAAATCAAATGTAACAGCTGACAAATAGCCTAGCTGACAAATATCCTAGCTGACAAAAATATCCTATTTTAAATGTGATCAAAGCAACCTTTTAAATTCGTTCAGCTACTTTTACTGTTTGTGTTCCATAGTTTGATTCCGTTTATAACCTAATTTATTTTTATCGATGCTTAAAAGAACATTCATAAACTTAATTGTAGACACAAATCTTGACTAAAAATAACAGAATCATTTAGCCATGAATTATTTTAGCCTCTTTACTGTGAAATTATACTATACATTTTACTTTTTCAACAGGAAAAAATTAGAAAAAACAACTTAGGCGTCTCCGGTACGCGAGCGCCGTTGTTAAACGTAGACATATCATTGTTGAAACTTTACCCACCATTGTACCAGCCATTAAGCGGATGTAGCGATGTAGGACATTATACCTGACAAGTTACATAGGTGTGAGTGATAATACACATGTCCAGTGATAAGAACAGACGAATGCTAGAGTGTTGCTTATCTTAACACCCGCTTCTGTTTATCAAAACGTCGAACCTCAGCAACTCATCAGTCAAAATGTAGACTGTATAGTTCCATAGATAAAACATACTCCCTTAGTTACCTTGTGTTGGTTAGTCTATGATAGTTCTTACTTTCTAAAGCGTAAAAACATAATCAGCAGTCATTTGTGTAAACTAAATAATTAATTTCTGTGTTATCTATTGTATTATTATTGTTTTAGAGTGCTATTGATCAATTATTGTTTAATAATTTAGGTATTAATGCACTAAATAGAAAAAATCAATTTCTAACCTAAATATGAAATGTAGTGTAAGGTAAGATTAAAAAATCTGATCAGAAAAGCTGAAGTAAAAGTTGCATTTGAATTAATCTAACTTCTAAAACATGCAACTCTTTACTTATCACAGCACAACACTCTGACAAAACACACTAATAACATAAAATATGCAGTAGAGTATGCCCTATAATAACCATTTAAATTAATAATGAGTTTCTTGAATAGACTATTATATCAAATTAACTTCTAGAAATTTGTTCGTTTCCAAATTTCAACGTTAAGTTCAGCTCAAGATTTCTATGAATCGTATGGTTGCGAATAATAATGTTTTATAATATGAATGCAACATTTTTTTAGTCTTGTATTACATTATTCTAAATATATAAACTCGCTTATTTTGTTGCTTAAGCC